ACCCCAGAACCTAAAGTACAATTAAAAAAAAAAAAAAAGAAAAGAAAGTGTAAAAAAATAAAATAAAATAAAAATAAATAAAAAATAAATAATGACTTTGCCTAGTCATATCATTTTCAAACTACAGAAATCAAAGGCAAAATTTCTTGAAAGGAAAAACACCTTATCTATAGAGGAACAAGGATAGAAATTATATCCAGCTTCTCCTCGGATAGCATACAAGCAAGATGAGAGTGAAGTAAAATATTTAAGTGTTGAAAGAAAAAAGATTGCCAGACTAGAATTCTGTATCTTGCAAAATTACCCTTCAAAAGAGGGGGAAATAAAGACTTTCTCCAACCATCAAAAATTGAGGGAAATTGTCACTAGTATACCTACCTTGCAAGAAATGTTAAAAGAAGTTCTTCAAAGAGAAGGAAAAGGATATAGGTCAGAAACTCAAATCTATATTAAAAAGGAAGAGTGCTAGAGAAGGAATAAGTAGGTAACATAAATGTGTGAAACAAACCAGCACGCTTCCTTCAAAAAGTTCTCCATGCCCCAGCCACACAGCATTCCTTCTTATGTTCCAGGAGCACCCACATCGCCACAGTCACATTGCCGGAATGGCTGCTGCCTTCCTCAAGGCTGTAAGTCATGTGTCCCCAGAGCCAGGACTGTGAGGTGCTCAGTGTCTGACGAATGAACAAATGAATGACAGAGCGCCCCAACCAGCAACTGCGTGGGTTGTTAAATAGCACGTCTCTTTATTTGCAGTTCAGCAAGAAGACTCCAGTGCTGACACTGTGACATGAAGAGCTCACCTGCTGGAGTCTTTCTGCCCAGGTCTGGCCCTTCTTCAGGTCAAGCAGGAGACAGATGTTCTTCTGACACAGAAGGTCCAGGTTGTTCCTGGACCCTGAAGGACTTCCACCTAGGAGGTAGAGAAATGCCCAAGGGACACAGCAGGGAGATGTGGTTGGCCAAGGGGTAGGGCTGAGGATGACTCCCTGTAACCCCACCACTCTCCATGTTCCCAGAGCTCCATCTAGAGAGCAGAAATCCATGGAAGAACAGGCAGTGGTACATCGGGCACCTGGAATTGAAGCCTGAGTCTGTTTCTTCCAACTCAGAAGCCCCTGCTAACAGTTCTTCATCTCTAGTCATATGAGCAAACAATTGATGTGGCATTTATCATGTGCTAGGCACCATCACCCCCAAGACAACCCTCCAAAGTAGATACTTCTGTTGCAATGAGGAAACTGAAGCACAGAGGTATTATGTAACTTGCCCATGATGGAGCCGAGTTGGAACCCAGCTTCTGCTCCCGAGTTTGGCTTAAGTTCTGCCTTCTGTATAATGGGCACAATCGATGCCCCCTCTTAAGGTTGCTTTTGGATCAAATGAGAAACCCTGACAGACTACCTTGTGCAGAAGCTGGCATATAGTGAGTGCTCAGTAAATGCCAGTACTGCACTCCAACAGCCTTCCTGAAAGCATGCTGAGGTCGCTGTGCCTAAATCTCCACCTTGGCCCCAGGATGGTCAGCGCAGCTGTTCACCACAGACAGGCTCAGGGACTGCATCCGGATAGCTACCATGGTTGTTTATCCTGCCATCGGCCCTCCACCTCCCACAGCCACATAAACAGCCCCTGTGTGACCACTGGGCCAAGTACAAGGGAGGGAGACCATGGGACCCAAAGTCACATCCCAAGTTGGTGGCAGGTCTAAAACCTACGCAGCATCACTCCTTACACTGCCATCTGTGACTCAAGGCAAGGTCAGCAGACGTGACAATGCCCAGAAAGTTTTAGAAATGCGAAATTGCAGGCTCCACCACAATCTCCTAAACACAGGAGCCCAGGCCCACGAATGATGGAGAGGCAGTGCTCTCTGACACCACAGAGTCAGGGAAGCCAATATGAAACTTGACATCAAGTTCCTCCACAAACTTAAGAGAAACATTGCAGGAGCCCAAGACAGCCAGCCCCCACCTACCTCTACTGGCCCTTCTCCAGTAGGGAAAGACTAAGCCTCTTTCCCAAGTTCTCCACTGCGGTGCCCCTTCCCACTGTCCAGGATAACCATCTTCTCTGCCCAGTTCCTCATCCGTCAGCTCTCTCACCTGTTGCTCTTAGCAGTCCCAGTAGGAGGGTCTCGTACTGGAGTCCTGAGATGAGCAATCTGTAAGATGTGATATGCTGCAAGGAACAGAGAAGAAGGGCCAGGTGGAGGGAGGCTGCCTGATAGCAGAGCCTACCCAGACCACAGCACAGGGGCTGGGGTGGGAGCGCAAGCCATGCCTGGGTCGTGGCTGCAGTGGGCCTGGGAGCAGAGTCACATGGACAGGCCCTCAGCCTGGAGCCCTTCCGTGCACTGGCAGACACCATGAAAGGCTGGCAAAGCCCTGTCATGTGAAGCACAGAAGACAGGACACAGCCCTATGAACTGCATGCCCCTGCTCTTGGTGTTGGCGTACCAGAGAGAGCATTGCTGGGCATGGGCAGAAAACCCAGCAGTCACCCCCACTCTGCCTGCCCCCAGTCAGTAACACAGATCAACCAGTCCCAAACAGCTTACCTTCGTCTCACCTGCTCTATTCGATCTCGCATGATGTGTTCTGTCATCTCACTTGGCACTTGGAAGATACGAGTGTGGCTGCAAAAGGCCATTCATACATTGGCATATGGGATCTGAGTTTCTTTCTTACCAGGCATTGAGAACGGGTGGAGTTGGGATCCTGCGAACAGTGGCTCTTGCCCTGACACCAGGAACTTTTGAGGTGGTCTTTTCCCCTTCTTGACTCATGAGCACAAAGCTTTTTTTACTAACCAGGTACCCTTGAGCCCCCAGCAATGCTGAACAGGTAGCAGACCGTCCCAGGGAGAGCCAGGAACACAGAGTTGAGCTCCCTTACAGAAAGCAGCAGGCAGTGCTCTCGTGGGCCATGGAATTCACCCTTCTGAATTCCTCTCCAATTTATCACCAGCTCTTGATGACCTGCATCACCCCAAACCCACTGTGGTTCAGAGATGATTCTAGGAAGCCCTATGGCGGGGAAGCTGCAGGGCCTCCTGGGGAGCCTCCTTGCTTTGTTTCACTGTGCTGCCTCCACCTTCCTGCCTCTGGCCCACTTCACCTCCCTTCCCACCCTTCCCCTCATGAGGCCCCCCTCTTTCCACTGAACACCCTAGTTCTGTCTCTGTAGACAGCGCTTTCGCAGTAATGCTAGGGACTTTTGACAGTGATGACAGCATGGATGCTGCAGCAATGACCACAGCCAATGGGAGGTAAGGTGGGCTCATGAATATTGCTCCTGCATGGCAGAGCCAGGTCTTTGGCCTGAGAGGAAGATAAAGAATTCAGGGATCCCAGAGGAGGCAGGGAGCCCCGTCCTAGGAGGAAAGGGGAAGGCCTCAGAGAAGAAGGGGCAGTAGCGCTGGGCCTGGAGGCCATGTGGGATTGGTCAGCTTGCCCAGGCTCCTGTGCTATAAAGTTCCAGACACGCTCCTGGCTGCTATTTCTCCAGTTCCTGCCCAGGTCACCAGTTCTAGGACCAGTCCCAGCAAACAGTCCACTAGCAGTCTTTCCTGAGTGCCCCGGGCAGTGGGACCCAGCACTTCTGTGACCTGGGTCGCCCACGCCACACTCTCCCAGATACTTCGCAGGGCTTCCCTTTAACTAGTACACACCTTATCCATGTAGCTAACTCTTAACTCTTTGAAACTGGGGACTATGTCGTATTCTTTTCTCTTTTTCCAAAAGCCTAGCAAACACCAGGTGGCCAGTACATGCCTATCAAACAAAGGAATATTCAACAATGCTTCATGAAGGGATATATTTCCTGACTACATACTTATTTCCATAAGAGGGGGACACCAACATGAGTGGGTTGTGGAGGAAGGCAAGCAGAGGCTTTCGGTTTAAAATCTTTGTAGAAAATCCAGAGTGGAAAAATTATAAGTAGATAATTGACTGATTCCTGCAGGCTGTCTCCAAAGCTTAAATCTAGTCTTGTCATACAGCCAAGATTTTTTAAATATTGGCAGATGATGTGTGTGTTATCCAAACCAAGAGCACAATGTATGCAATGCCATAGCACAACCACGTCAGGCACAAAAAAGCCTGGATTATAACCAACAACATTTATGGTTGTAGGGGCCTCAGAAGGTTTCCCATCCAAAAAAACTGTTTCCCAGGGAGGTCTCAAATCCCGCCATGTTATTCCTTTCGGCTATGTAATTACTGTGCATTTGAATCTTCTTAAAAGGCAGATGCCACTAAAGGGGGTGAGCACATGAAAACCCTTTCTTGATAAATGGAGCCTCCTTGATACAAGAGATCAATGCCAATGATAAGGCAGGGAAAGGGAAAAGAAAGGAGGAAGGGGAGAGGGTTCCCTCAGTTTCCTGGAGGACCAGTCTAAGCCCTTAGTCCCTTTCCTGGGAAGGGTGACTGATGTGCTCCAGAGACCCCCAGTGAACACAGGTGCAGGAAAGGAAGAGTGATGGCTTCAGGACAGCTCCCTGGGCCTTGTGACTCAGCATCTGCAGAGCCAGCAGAGGCGGCGGGGATGGCTGTGCACTGGCAGGCACCCGAGAGGCTGGGAAAGCCACCATAACCGAGCACAGAATTCTAGCCCCAGGCGCTGGGAAGCCTCCACACACCTCAGTTGCAGATGACAACTTTGGCTTCTGCATTTTAAGAGCTTATTTTCTTTTAGCTCTTTAAAGTGCAGCCACTTCTGAGCAACTCAAGTGCAAAAAGAACAGAAGTCTGAAATGTATTCAGAAGCATTTAAGAAATGGAGTGCAAGCCCAGTTTTCCAACCCCTCAAGTCATTTAAAAATGTAGAAATGAGCTGGGCTTTCAAGATAGCAAGAATATTCCCTTAAGACCCCAAAGCAAGGCTGAGAAATTTGTCAGCCAAAGAAGGCATCTCCAGAGAAGAGCATCTGTGGGTTCGTGAGGAGAGGGGCTTGCACATGTCCCCATGTCCTTGTCCCTCTCCCCCTTCACCCAGGGCAAATGGGACGCTTTACCTCCATCTTATGAACTGGATTCGTGTTCTCTCCTCCAAGACCTCCTGGCTCTGATTTGCTGACAAATCAGACTTAGAGAGGTGGTGCTTCACCTGGGAAATCCAAAGGGGTCCATGTGATTCCTGCCCACCGTGGCCCCCAGCTTGCCTGGCACAGAGCCCAGGCAAGCACCTCACTCTTGCCCAGAATCACTTATGGTACACCTCCTGCCTTTCCCTTCTCCCTCACCCCCACTCCCAGGCAACATCTCAAACTCTTAGTTACCACATCTCTGGTCACATGGACGTCTTGGCCATGGGTGGGAGGGGAGTCAATGGACGTCTTCTCCCTTATGCCCTGGGAAGGGTAGTTGATGGACAGCTTTTCCTTTATGCCCCGAGAAGCCTCTTCTTCTGTCTGAAAGGTGAGCAATTCCCTCTGAAAGTGTCACTCTGCATCCAACCCTGAGTCTTCTTCTCCTCTTGCTTCCTGTTTATTCCTTCTCCATCACAATTCACACACCACATATTCACACACACACACACTCCTTACCTCACTGTTCCTGCGATAAGCTACTTTCCTGTGATGTCCTCGGAACTCCCTAAGTCCCCGGCCCTATCCCAAGCTGTTCCTGAGACACCCTTGAGCTGGAAAGGATGCAGCTGGAACCCTCAAGTCAGAATGCTTGAGAAGCAGGATGGCTTTAGTGGCGGTGCTAACACATTTCCTACCAGGACACAAGCCACGGTGTCCTCCAGGACATGTGAAGAAATTAGACTCAAATCTGGGGAGGGCGTCTGCCAATGAACTTGAGTTCCAGTTCCATGAAGAAGGAAGTCCAGATCCTCACACCCACTGAGACCAGCTCTTTAGGATTTTGGATACCCTGAGTCATAGAGAAATCTTACTCACTTTTTTCAACCAGTGCTGTACTACAGATACAGCCTCGCTTTCCACAACGTCAATGTCCTGGAACAAATTGACAAGTTGGTGACCTCAGAAAACCTAGAAACCCAGCTCCTCCCACCCACCCCAGCCCCTGTTACTCAAAATTATTTGTAAGATCTCTCTGACGTGCAGCAGGGCCCCAGAGGGGGAGATGATATATGAGAAATTGTGACTAGCACCAAGCTGCTCACCGAACTGGTTACTGGTAGGAAGGGAAGCCCTACACCTTTCCGAGCAAGAATATACACGATCCAGGTTGTAATTATCATCTCTGAATTTATACCAGGCCCCCTTCTTGGCTCCCTCCTTCCATTGAAGCTGCCTGAGAACTCCTATGGGACAGGGAGGTCATTGAAGGGAGGTGTCCCCCTGATTGGCTGACCTGTGATGATGTGACAATGGCCTCCCTTTGAAAGTGGTGTATGTGAGTATAAATGCAGTTGCCAGGAGACCCTGCATTTTAGGCTCTGGGTGCAATGCCTATGAGTTACCATGCTTCAAGGAGCAGAACCATTCAATAAAAGATGGCTTTCTAACACCACTGACTGACCCTTGAATTCTTTTCTTGGGAAAGTGCTAATTTGAGAGTTCACCTCGAGGCAGGAGGATAGGGTCTGGAGGCAGGAAACTTAAAGCCGAGATTCACTCTGACTTCTTAGAACTAAATCAAAAGGAAAACCCCAACTTTCCATGCCCAAGTAACAAAAGGACCAGAGGCTACTCCCTTAGCCACCCTCCCCTCTTCTGCATGGCAGACGAAAAGCTGAAAGTGCCTCTGATTGGTCCCCTACCACAACCAATCAGGCTGCTCATGGGCCAGGCCTTCATTTGCATAGAGCTATATAACTTTGTAACTTCACTTCAGCCTCTGATTGGTCACTTTCTGCAACCAATCAGACTGATCACGAGCCTCTACTTCATTTAATAGGGTATATACCAAGTAACCAATGGGAAACCCCTAAAGGATATTTAAACCCCAGAAAATTCTGTAACCAGCCTACTCCTACCCTGTGGAGTGTACTTTCATTTTCATTCAATCTCTGTCTTTGTTGCTTCAATCTTTCTTTGCTTGGTTTGTGCGTTTTGTCCAATTCTTTGTTCAAGATGCCAAGAACCTGGACACCCTCCACCCATAGCAACCTGTTCTGAAACAACTTGTTATGTGCTCCTGACCTGATCATTAGTCCTTCTGGTCTGAGTTTCTTTGTCTTATACTGAAAGGGATAAAGTTGTGTCTCGTTGTGTCTCTAGTTTTCTTCTAACTGTAACATTCCATAAATTTTCCCATGTTTATTCTTCTCAGGACTATAGAAAACCATTTATCACTTTCTCCACTTCCCCTGATACAACCACTACACCTCTTCCCTCTCAACAATTTGCCTCAATTTTGTGTCATCCCTGACATAGTCAGAATAGACTAGGCTCTGCTGAGGACTAAGGCAACAAAACAACCTCCAAATCAAAAATATTTATTTCTCACTCTTGAAACTCTAGTGCAAGTTGGGAAACTTCCAAGCAATTGTGGTTGTGACCTCCATGATTGCTAAATCAGGGAAGGAATCAGGTCAGTGTTCCACATTTCAGCCCAGAGGCTCTTACTTAGAGCATTTAAGCTAGAACTAGTCCTATGGCCTCAACCTACCTCCAAGGAAGACTGGAAATTGTAAAATAACAGATGAAATTACCTGTCAACATCTCTGTTTCTGCTGCTATCCCCTAAAATTTATGTTTTCAGTCTCACTGATGTAATTTTATCTTTGAATATTTAAAATATTAATGTGATTCAGAAATCAAAACTACACGAAGAGATATATTCAAGGAAGTTTCATCTCTTCCCCATACCTTCAACCTTGTTCTAACTCACTTCAGATGTAAAATTTTCATTAGTTTCTGAACTACACATTCTGTGTTTATGTTGACAAAATGAAGCTGATGCATAAATCTACTTGCTTTTTGATTACTATTTTATAAAATGCATACAGTAAAATGTACAAATATATGTACAGCTAAGAAATATTTTTACACACACAAACTCTCTCTCTGTCTCTCTTTCACCTGTTTAACCACTGCCCAGATCAAGATAGAAAACATTTTTAGTAGGCCATTTGTATTATATTTTATTTGATGCTGTTTAAAATAATGCTGCTATGAAATTTTATACTGTGCTTATCTTTTGATTGCCATAAGAACTAAATCTTCTGAGTACATACCAAAGATTAAAGTTGCTAGGTGTAGCATTAGTGTAGCATTAGTACATACCAAACAGTACTGCAAAGGGGTTGTACTAACCTACTGCCCATAAGCAATGTGTGAAAGTCACGGTTACTCCATGTTCCTTCCAACACTTGGTATTGTCACTCCTTTAAACTTAGCCAGTCTGGTATAGGTGTAGTGGTAATTAATAATACTTTAATTTTCATTTAACTGATTATCAGTGTCATAACGCATGTTTTTATTTGCCTGTTGATCGCTTTGGATATTCTTTTTTGTGAAGTGCCTCCCTGAGCTTTGTGTCCTTTCACTGAATTGTTGGTCTTTTTCTTATTGATTTGTGGATTTCTCAATGTATTGTAAATAGTAGTCCTTTACCAACTACGTGTTTTGCAACTATTTTACCTCAACTTATGACTTGCCTTTTCACTCTTTTAGTACTGTCTTCTGAGGAACAGAAACTGTTAATTTTTAAATTCAGTTTTATTGTGATATATTTAAATAATAAAAAATTTACCCATAATAATGTATAACTAAATAATATTGTTAGTAGACTCAGAGAATTATGCAACCATCACAACAATCCAATTATAGAATATATCTATCAATCACCCCAAAAATATCTGTCATGCCCATTTACAGGCAACCTCTGCTTCCATTCTCAGCCCCACCAATCTGCTATCTCTAGAGATGTGCCTTTTCTGGACATTTCATACACATGGAACTATACCATATTATGTCTGGTTTATTTCACCAATCATGTTTGAGAGGACCATCTACATACATTGTAGCATGTGTCAGTAATTCATTCCTTTTTGTTGTGGGGTAGTATTCCGCTGCATGGACATACCACATTGTGTTTGTCCATTCACCAGTTGATGTACCTTAGATGGCACCCAGTTTGGGGGCTACTATGAATAACACTGTGATGAACATTTGTTGTTGTTGTTTAATTTTTTTATTTTTCCATAGGTTATTGGGGTACAGGTGGTATTTGGTTACATGAGTAAGTTCTTTAATGGTGACTTCTGAGGTTTTGGTACACCCATCCCCCAAGCAGTGTACACTGCACCATATTTACAGCCTTTTATCTCCTGACACCTTCCCACATTTCCCCCTCAAGTCCCCAAAGTCTATTGTATCATTCTTATGCCTTTGCATCCTCATAGCTTATCTCCCACATATCAGCGAGAACATATAACGTTTGGTTTTCCATTCCTGAATTACTTCACTTAGCATAACAGTCTCCAATCTCATCCAGTTCACTGCAAATGTCACTGATTCATTCCTTTTGATGGTTGCGTATTACTCCATCGGATACATATATACCACAGTTTCTTTATCCACTTGTTGGCTGATGGACATTTGGGTTGTTTCAACAATATTGCAATTGTGAATGATGCTGCTCTAAATATGCAGATGCAAGTTCTTTTTTGAATAAAGACTTCTTTCCTCTGGGTAGGTACTCAGTATTAGGATTGCTGGATCAAATGGCAATTCTACTTTTGGTTGTTTAAGGAATTTCCACACTGTTTTCCATAGCAGCTGTACTAGTTTACTTTCTCACCAGCAGTGTGGAAGTGTTCCCTGATCATCACATGATGCCAACATCCACTTTTTCAATTTTTGTATTATGGCCATTCTTGCGGGAGTAAGGTGATGTCGAATTGTGGTTTTGATTTGCATTTCCCTGAGCATTAGTGATGTTGAGCATTTTTTCATATGTTTGTTGGCCATTTGTATATCTTCTTTTGAGAATTGTCTATTTCTGTCCTTACCCTACTTTTTGATGGGATTGTTTGAGTTTGTTATAGATTCTGGATATTAGTCCTTTGTCAGATGTATAGATTGCAACGATTTTTCTCGCACCCTTTTGGTTGTCTGTTTACTCTGCTGACTGTTCCTTTTGCCCTGAAACAAGCTCTCTAGTTAAATTAGATCACAGCTATTTATCTTTGTTTTTATTGCATTTGCTTTTGGGTTCTTGGTCATGAACTCCTTGCCTAAGACAATGTCTAGAAGGTTTTTTCTAATGTTATCTTCTAGAATTTTTGTAGTTTCAGATCTTAGATTTAAGTCCTTAATCCATCTTCAGTTGATTTTTGTATACAGTAAGAGAGGAGGATCCAGTTTCATTCTTCTACATGTGGCTTGCCCAGCACCATTTGTTGAAAAGGCTGTCCTTTCCCCACTTTATGTTTTGTTTGCTTTGTCAAAGATCAGTTGGCTGTAAATATTTGGGTTTATTTCTGGGTTCTCTATTCTGTTCCATTGGCCTATGTACCTATTTTTATACCAGTGCCATGCTGTTTTTTTGACTATGGCCTTATTGTATAGTTTGAAATCAGGTAGTGTGATGCCCCCAGATTTGTTCTTTTTGCTTAGTCTTTCTTTGGCTATGTGGGATCTTTTTTGGTTCCATATGAATTTTAGAATTGTTTTTTCTAACTCTGTGAAGAATCATTGAGGTATTCTGATGGAGATTACATTGGATTTGTAGATTGCTTTTTGCATATGGTCATTTTCACAATATTAATTCTACTCATCTATGAGTATGGGATGTGTTTCCATTTGCTGTTGTCATCTATGATTCCTTTCAGCAGTGTTTTTTAGTTTTCCTTGTAGAGGCCTTTTGACTCCTTTGTTAGGTATATTCCTAAGTATTTTAGTTTTTGCAGCTATTGTAAAAGGGGTTGAGTTCTTGATTTGTTTCTTTGCTTAGTGGCTGTTGATGTATAGAAGACCTGTTGATTTGTGTACATTAATCTCATACCTGGAGACTTTGCTAAATTCTTGTATCATTTCTAGGAGCTTTCTGGAGGAGTCGTTAGTGTTTTCCATGTAAACAATTATACCATCAGCAAACAGGGACTGTTTGACTTCCTCTTTACCAATTTAGATGCCCTTTATTTCTTTCCCTCATCTGATTGCTCTTGCTAGGACTTCCAGTATTATGTTGAAGAGGAGTGGTGAGAGTGGGCATCCTTGTCTTGTTCCCATTCCCAGAGGGAATGCTTTCAACTTTTCCCCATTCATATTATGTTGACTGTGGGTTTGTCATAGATGGCTTTTATTACATTAACCTGTGTCCCTTGTATACCTATTTTGTTGAGGGTTTTAATCATAAAGGGGTGCTTGATTTTGTCAAATGCCCTTTCAACATCTATTGAGATGACCATGTGATTTTTTTTAATTGTTTATATGGTCAATCACATTTATTGACTTGTGTATGTTAAACCATCCCTGCTTCCTGGTATGAAAACCACTTCATTGTGGTGGAATTTTTTTTTTTACACGTTGTTGGATTTGGTTAGCTAGTATTTTCTTAAGTATTCTAACATCTGTGTTCATCAAGGATATCCGTCTGTAGTTTTCTTTCTTGGTTGTGTCCTTTCCTCGTTTTGGTAATAGAGTGATGCTGGCTTCATAGAATGAATTAGGGAGTGTTCTTTCTTTCTCTATCTTGTGGAATAGTGTCAAAAGGATTGGTACCAATTCTTCTTTGAATGTCTGGTAGAATTCTGCTGTGAATCCCTCTGGTCCTGGACTTTTTTTGTTGGTAATTTTTAAATTTTAATTAGCATTTCAATCTCTCTGCTTGTTATTGTTCTGTTCAGGCTA